CGGATACGATTGGTCGAGCCGCTCGGACCACTCGCGAAGCGGCCAATCGCGCGCCGGTCCAAGACCCACCGTCAAACACAGAGACTGGCCACGCGAGGGCCGCCCTCCGACGACGGGCTTGAGCAGGGGACAATGGGCGCGCAGCTCTGTTCTCCTCGCCTCGACGCAAAGCGACGCATCCAATTGTCGTGCGCCACGCGCAACCCTTCCTCCTCCCCCTCCTCATTGCCTCCCACTTGAGTCGGAGGCACAAGCAGCTGTCTTGCACTCGCCCTGGCCCACGACTCCTTTCTCCACCCCCTTCTCTGCCCCGTCAGCTGCCACCATACCGACTGACAGACACACATACACACAGACAGCCAGACAGGACCGACTCTCTCCACTTGGCATTAGTTCGCCTCGCCCCTGCGAGTCTAGCAGCAAAAAGGTGGACTTAATTCTTTCCAGCTTTGCCAGTCGACGGGTGAACAAGTGAGGCCGCCTTCCACGGTCAGACACTCATGCGGACGGATGAAACGTCGTCTTGACTCGTTTCCGTGTTGTATGCACTCGTTGCCTGGAGCGACCAGGATATCATAAACTTTGTTTTCGTGCCAATCGCTGACCTTTTGCTCCTCTTCGTCTGGGCAACTAAAATAGCCTTTCGTCAGTCCAGGCCGGACAATTTGAGCTCCGCGCAGACAGTCGAGATCGAGTCGAACAAGGCGTCGACCAGTTTGTGGCCGCCCACGCGTCCCGAGTTGGCGGCGTTTCTGGATTGGCTGACGTCTCTGAGGCCCGGCACCCGATTCGCACTCCGACCCCGGGCCGGACAAACCGACCAATCAGGACTGGCCGCCTTAACCACCACGTGCTGGCAGGCGAGGCGCCTGAGGCCATTCTAACCAAGTGAGTCCCTTCACCGGTCCCACCTTTTGCGCCCTCTCTCTTTCTCTTTCTCTCTCTCTCTCACACACACATAAACACATAATTTTTATAAGAAAGTAGGGTATCTCATTACAATGATTTACTGGTAGTCTCGATACCCTACTTTCTTACGAATATAAGTAACGTTGTCGAT